GTCAAGTGTTCTAATCGTCCCATTCAGCATCTTGATTTTGACGTTACCAATCCCAACTATTCCACAAGGCTCATTGCTTCCTACCATCACGGAACCCATTATAATTGTTTCATATGAAGAAAATCAATCCTGATTTGAACGCATACAAAAAGTGCAAGTTGAATCTAGAATCCAATCCTCGTCAGGTTTGGAGTCACCTTTAGTAATCATCAACAAATCTCCATCGTCATTCGCTTCTGCAAGATTAACATTATCGAAATTTTCTAATTGTTCATCTTAATCTGTAGTAGTAAACCTCTTTCGCCACTTATAGCAATCCCTCTTCATGTGCCCATTGTTGTTGCAATACCAATAGACTATACCGCTACCGGTGTTGCTATCCTTGACTCTACCCCTTCCAGGACTACCCGTCTTCCTCTCACGAACAACAAGATCTTCTCCATGAGCCTCAGAGTCGATGACCAGATACTTCATCTTCTCATTGGAATAAAGCGCATCATATACCTTATCAATTGTAAGAGTATCCCGACTATAGAGAATGATATTTCTAAAAACCATATATGAAGGTGGCAACGAGTATAACAATATTAGTCCTAAAATCTCTTCATCATACTTAACCTCCATCGTTTCCAAATCAGCGACAATTTCCTTGAACACGGATTGATGACCTTCCAAAGATCCACATTTCGTCAAGCGATGAGAATACAAACGCTGCTTCAAGTGTAACTTACTTGTCAAGCTCTTTGTCATACAAAGCTGCTCCAACTTCAACCACAATACAACGACACTTTTCTCCTTTTACCACATCCTGAAGAATCTCATTAGAAAGATAAAGACGTATCTGAGATAGGGCTTTCCGACCCTTTCGTTGTTTCTTTTCCACGGTCATTGTTGCAGTCATTCTATCAATCCCCAACAAAGTATCATCAAGATCCAATTGAGCAAGGACCGCTCGCATCTTGATTTGCCACAATGAAAATCTACTGTTGCGATCCGAAAGCGAATTTCGAATTTCAAAGTTGTCATCCTTGAACAATCGACCTTGTTCCAACCTCGCTTTAATAATTAATTTGGACTTCCCAAGAAATCGTCAAAAAATTCTTGGCTCTGATACCACTTGTTATGAATCAACTCGATATCAAGAACGTTTTGATATCACTTGTTGAGAAACCGACCAAATAACTAAAGACGAAAATATGGACAACATAAAATTTAATAGATCATACAATAATTAAGAAAATTGTGGAAGAATAGAATTTATTATACCAAAAATAAACAATTGTCTTACAAGATTTTGATCTCCTCAATCTAATCTAAACAATTCTCTCTTATTTCTAATGTATACAACAATGATCTAATTATTATAATATCTTTCGAGTCTTGCCTTTTCACTTTTATGAAGTGACTGTACCTTATGGAGTATTTATAGGAGCAAAATCTCAAAGTTGTGGATGCGATAGAGTTCAAGATGAAAAAGATGTCCAAAATTTCGGATAAAAACGGAAAAACGTGAAAAATCCGCTATCGAGGCGCCTCAAAGTCGGACCCGCACCGCAATGCCGGAGCCCGGAGTTGCAGCGCTGGGTTCCTTTTCCAAACCAAACTTCCAATCCATAATGAAATTTGATCTCTACAACTCAAGACTCTACAAACCCAAGTACCTTAAACTTCATGCAACAAACTTCTAAATCACATAGAATTTTTTTCACAAAACCTAATAGTAGCAATAATATTTACATATTTAACTCAACCGCTCTATGCGTAAGTTAGATAGATACAATCAACCATAATATAAGAGATAGATTGTTTGAAATATCATAATAGCCATTTAATAAGTGTCCAATTAGATGGAATCTAGTGCCCGTGCTTCATTTTATATTCTCAACTCTTTCGCGAAAGGCAGTGTCGGCCCGAAAATTTTGAGGCCCTCTACACATAATTTTTTTTTACAAGCGTATTGGCATCAAATTTGGTCGAGTCAAACAGTTTTCCATGATGAGGAATATTGTACATATGGTACTCACTCACCATTGGATACGTCCTAGAATCAATTTAGGTGTTCAAGAAGGAAAAATCATATTTACGCATTAAATTAAAAATATTTTATGATATACTACAAAATTATATTTTTTATATGTCATATATACTACATATTATATAAAACAACACCAAAAAATCTTATTGTAACTATTTAGTTTTCTTGAAATTCCTTAATTCCTTAAACAGTTCATTAGTTAGTATTGACATGTTCCATAAATCAAGCTAATTTATGCTATTTTCCTTTATTAAAAATTATTCATTTTCCTTAAAAACTAAATGTACTTTCAGAATTAAAAAAAATGTGGGTATTAAAAATGAAATTTCTTTATTCTAGAGTACAACTTTATAGACCAAGAGATAGATAGTATGGTAAGAAGTAACAAGATGTGACCTTTAAATTATCATTTTCAGTATGAGTAAACGGTATTTTGATTAGTCGATGTTCAGTATGACTTTGTATTCACTGGATGTGACCTCAATCTTTCCTGTTAACATTATCTTTAATTACTTGTTTTTACATTCGAGATATGGCATGTACATGTCTATTTATTGAAAATATATGTAACCTTTAGCCCCCGTTTGAAACCATTTTTTTCTCATTCTCATTCTCATTTTTTTCTCGTTCTTCATTTAAACCACACATTCTATTAATAAAATAATACTACACATAAATCCAAAAATTCTCATTACTTTTCAACCACACATTCTTCCATCAATCACTATTCTAGAATTTATTTTTTCTCCAAAATGAGTGTCAAACAGAGGCTAAATTTATACTTAATAAATAAAGAATTTAATTAACATGTCGACGACGTGTCGTGTCAGTAGTTATTTGAAAAAAATCGTATGTTGGCGTATCCGTGTCAGTGTTTCATAGCATAAAACATTGCTTTAAAACTTTTTGTTCAACCTTCTTCTTCATCTTATGCTAAAAGAAATTGAAGTACGTAATCTTTTGTGCACTATACGAGAAAGAATTAAATAAATCCGCAACGAGCTGAAGAATTAATTTTCATTCATGGCCATCTGTCTTTTATCAAGAAAATTAAATCTCTTTCAAGGAAAAATACAAAATGTGGGATATTGGCGAAAACTCATTTGATACTCTTGAAGGTCTTGGACTACTTGAGGCCGCTAATCTATTTTTAGATGAGCTCGAATTGGAGAGTATTATTTTTAATAATAATGAAGCTGATGTTGAAGAAGATGAAGTTGGGACAATAAGGTTTAAAGATAATATGTTTTAGTATTTTATTTTTATTATTATGCTTTTGTTTTAATATTTTTTTATATTAATGAAATTATGTTGAAATTTATAACACGTATCCGCGTATCCTATTTTTTTTAAAAGCCATATCAGCATGCCATATCAGCGTACCGTATCATATCATATTTGAATTATGTATCCGTATCCGTGCTTCTTAGGTTTCAAATTCATCTCCTCCTAGTATATTATTTTTAGACTCAAAACTGGTCACAGGCTAAGTTTGAGATTCAAGAATTAGGATTATGTTATCCTGGTAATTTAAGCCTTCCTAGTCAGAGCAAATATTAGAGTCTCTTAAGGTTTGAAGAGCCTATCCATTGTCCAAATTAAAATAACAATTGAAGAACTTTATTCTTAGTCCAGAAAATTCTGGTTTGTTGAGATTGAAGCTCAAAGCACTACATCTCTAGTTTTTACTTTGATCTCCATCAGTAAGCTTTGTTCTTCCAATCTCTATTTTTTTGATGGTTAATGCTTCCTCATCAATTTTTGTATCGGAGGAGCCATCGAAGGATTATCATGGTTGCGACACGACTAAGGATTCACAAACGTACGCAAGCTCATCCGGTTCGACAAATGAAAAGGATAACAAGGAAACTTACATAAGATGGGAAACATGCATAAATATTGTGGAAGCTCAAATGAGATACCGTAGTGCGACTTGAGTGTTTTACAAGAATGTTTAACCACATAATCTTGTAGCTCGTGCTAATCCCGAGCACAGTGAAATAGAAAAGTGGTTAGCAAGAGCTATAGATCTATATCTGGATTAAAAATTAAAGTTTCGAATTCCCATGGAAGAATGCATGCAGAGGTTTCCTTAGTTGGGAAGCAAACTACAAGAATTGTTTCAAATGAGCATCAATACTCGAAGAACTAAGGGTGAGTTTGATTGCAAGTATGAAAATTGTATGGAAAGCAAATAAGTTCGAGGCATGAAAATTATCAATTAAATGTGTTTGATTGACTTAATTTTCAACCTAAAAAATATTGTACTTTTTCATGAAATTGAGTTTTTTAGAAGTGTGAATTGCTTAGAAAATAAAAAACTACTCCCCAAAAAGAAAATATTTTCCTTGTTTTTTGAGGAAAACATGGTCACGTGACAAACTTTTAGAAAATATTTTCCATGGAAAAAAATGTCAAAATCAAATATCCCAAAAGTAGGAACTTAGGTGGAAAATGACATTTTCTATGGAAAATAAAGCCCTAAAGGTATTCATTGTGAGGCAGAAACTAAGAGGAGCAGTGATACAATAGCAAAAGCAGTTGGAAAGAGGAGAGAACTATAAAAGGGAAAGCGACTATTCACACTTGGGACTTGATGAAGGAAAAATTGAAAAAGCAATTTTTGCCAACTGATTATCCAATAGCGTTTATGAATGGATTTGCAACTTGCATCAACAGGACAAAGTGTTGTAATTTGCATCAACAGGACATAGTGTTGAAGAGTATGAGGAGCCAGGTGTTCTACAATTGCCTGTGGTATTACCTCTTTATCAAGAATTCAACAGTTATTTGGGGTAAGAAAACCCACTTAAACCATACCTAGAAGGAACCAAGCAAGCAACGGTATAGAGAGTACAACTACCAATGTGCAGGGTCAAATAAGAGCGAAACAGTTAACGAATTGATATTTTTTGAGTTGCGAGAGCTACTAGAAATAACTCAACACAATCAATCCTTTAAGATCTTAGTTGTCACGAATCACATCGTGCTTCTTGAGCATGTCCTCAGCGTCAATAGAGGCTGAAACTGAAGGTTCAAAGTTTGTAGAACCAAATTATGACAAATATACTGAGGGCCGAGGGGGAAGAAGAGAAATAGATATACTACCAATAGAAGATTACACTTTAGCTACAACAAGGGTGTCAATAGAAGATTACACTTTAGCTACAATAGAAGAGAAAGTTTGGTAGTTTAGCGAATTTTGGCAGCTCCTAAACTAGAAGAAAAGGAAGGTTGACACGAAGAGTATTTTCCATCCCATGGTCATTTGTAGAGGAAAGGTCAGCAAATATTACTCCAGTTTACAATTTTACACACCTGATTCATTATGTCTTAATATTTTCGAGACCTATTTGTCTGTCCAGTCTTCTAGGTGACTTGATTACTCTAATTTTCAATTATGAAATGAAAGTTCAACGTTGAGAACGACAATTTCCCACTCCCATCCAGGAAAGTGTGTGTGTGTGCACGAATCAATTGTCAGACTTGCACTGCCGATCTCCTAGCCCGCAATCCCAAGCATCTCAGGTACATTGTGCATACCATAGACACGTCAGAGCCAGGCATGTTCAATTTTATTTTATGGGTTATATAACTGATAGAGCCACACTTACAATCCAGATTCTCATTTCATTAACTATATGAAATCGTCCACTGTCAAAAACAGGGGAAATTGGTGAAAACAAACCTGTTAAGGCAAATGTACCACCCAGTATGGCACATAGCCGGGTGATGAAGTGGAGAAAACTGCGACGTTCTTCTCTGATGGTCACAGTAATTGGTGACAAATCATACAAAAAGTATACAGCTGCATTGAAAACAAAGCAATCATTCCTCAAAACAGTATAGAATAGAACTAGGAAGAAATATAAACTAGGAGGAAGGATATATGGAAAAGAGAGCCCTGAATTGAACAAGCTTCATACTAACCAGGCCACTTTCTATCGAACTCATTGATAGGTGAAAAGTACTCGGTGACAGAAAATTGATTAGTAGGTAAAACTTCCTTCGAGATATATTTGTATTCAGTTGGAACAATCTACATCAGGGGGAAAACAAGAACTTCAAAAAGCAGCAAATAACCAACAGCAACCACTTTGCACATAAACAACTAGCGAAAAAGGTAACGGCTCTCCTGCTCTCTCTCACTATGAGACTATGAGAGAGGGAGAGAGATTTGGTTAGGCTGAAAATACAAATGAAATTAAACAAATCAGCATCTAAAAAGCAAAAATGTGTAATGCTTGTTCAAATTGAGTTGATAGCATCTGGTTTTGCATGTTGGGTAACTTAACAAGAATACAGATGGTTGTGTAACAAACAAAATACTAAGGGCGAAGTTTTGCACGTACAGAGCAAGAGAAAATCTATAAATCCCAATTAATTGCACGATCTACTATAGAACAAAGTTTGCGCCATTGTGAAGGAGAGTAACACTTGGTGATAAGGAAATTCCAAGAATATCGCGGGTTTGTTTTTGATGATGAGGTGGGGAGGCAAAGTATGAGTGACAATTACTCACTGCACACTAGGGCTAAAAGATACATTCTCCACTATATAAGAATAGGCATCCTTCTAAGAACAGGAACCAAGCTATCATCAAGTACTTGATCAACCCTAGTTCCTCCGGTCAGGTAAAAAATAAAACCACTCAGAGCAAAATGAAGTAAAAATCCTCTCTATCCGGGTTATCGTGCTAACAAATCCTACAGTGGTGAAGACAACTTAATTTAAGGCATGCCTTCATCAACTCAAGCATGACTTTCTCCAGTTGTATCGAACTAGGGCAACTGATGAATTTTCTGATACATGTTAGTGAGAATAATTTAAAAAAAAAAAATCCAACAATCCAAGGGTCAACTGAAATGCAGGAAATGAGTAGTTCATAAACTGAAATCCTGACTCAAAGTGTCCATTCCTTTTAAACAGAGAGTCATGGTTGCTCATGACAAGTTATGGTATGAGTAACCTAATCAGCTCCTCGTCAACAATATGTAAACAAAAGAAGGATAAAGGAAAAACTACTGATCTTTTTAATATAGTTTGTGATGCAACTCTCATGGTGCTTGTGTCATACTCATTTAAACTTTATTTGCTAGTTAGTTATTAAGTTGCTCTGTCATTTTGAGTACAACGAAAAGAAAATTGAGTATATCTTTATCTAGCCAAAGACATGTTCATTTTTGTGCATTCAACATGCTTAGGATCATATGCGTTACTAATAGTTTTAGTGGGCAAGCCAAAACACAAACCTTTATGTAATACTTGAATGTTCCACTTGCTCCACGCAATATCCGCATTGTCCCATCAAGTGGGTTGTGAATTCCAGGATATTTCGGCCCGAAAGATAAATCATGAATTATATGACTCACGTTGACATGAGAAGACCCTTCAAAAATCTGCAGAATAGGAAATAATATAAATAGATGTGTATCGGTTAAAAGAAGTTTGACAATCAATTCTATTGCTGACAAACAAAATGCCTGATCAAACAAAATGTCTTTTGTAAGAATAACCAAGAATGATAGGCTTAATATCTGAAGACAAGTAAAAACTACCCTTTTCCTTCAAAAGGACACAAAAATTCCAATCTACTTTTTCTTCTTTTCAGAAAATAAAGTGCTTTGAACGCCCAAAATATCATCTGAAGAAGATAAAGGTCTCCCGGCTGCAGATACTTTCATATAAGCACCAAATCCTACCCGTGCCCCTGGGGTGAGAGCCAACGTCCTCCAAAAAGGAAAAGGTCGGCACAATTGGAGGGGATAAGCAGCAGGGAAAGCCCAAAGAAGAAAACGCTTAGTAAAATTACAACCATAAAAACCAAGAAAAAGATACTGATTTCTTTACTTAAAAACACGAACAGACAGATTGTTCCATGTTCCTAAATGCAAAAGCCAGACCCTGGTGCAAAGAAAATTCAAACCAGAATAGTAACTTGATGAACACCTTAAAATGAATCCTTAAGATGCATACACAATGAAAGAGAAAATACTAGTAAGGAAAAAAGTAACCTGCCAATTAATCTATACATAAATAAACCTCATCAATTTTCGTCCTCTTTGGAATATCATAAACCCTATTAAGTCCACTAACAGATTTTGAAAAGACTAACAAACTTTCTAACTCAAAATTCAAATTCATTGGCACTAGCAATAAATGGATCTAAGAAAGACATGAGGAGAGAAGGAAACAATCAAGCTTCTAGTTTTCTGCTTCTATGGGATTTCAAAAGGTTTCTGACCCCTCTTAAGTCAAGGAATGGTCTTCTTAAAGACAGGTGCCTTGCATGAGAAGTTCCATTTCTAGTCTTATCTTGGCATTATCTCTTGTGATTGATATCTTAGATTTGGTACATTTTCCTCTTAAAAACTTGAAGATCATAAATTCATAATTAGTATCTTATTAAAACAAAACAACCCTTCAGTTTCCCGTGGATGGAACTTTTCGCTTCATCCCCATCAAATGGAGCTCCAATGAGATGGTGTCCAACTGTCCATATTTAACCAGTACAACTTTCCACTACAAACCTTGATGCATATTTGGACCACTCAAAAACACTGAAATTCCATCCAACAATTTGCAGGGGCAAAAGTGCCTGGGGAATATTAAAAAAACATATTTTATTTATTTATTATTATTTAGAGTTGATTTTTTAATATTTTTTATGTAATTATTTATAATAATGCTAAGAGTAGACATCAGAATACCATAAATGGACTTATTCAGGACCTCAGAAATATGTAGCCATCATTTTGTTTTCTTACTATAAAGGCATTCGAGGAAGTCGGAAACTAAGAACTCTTTAATATTTTGTTCTCAACTAATAAAGATGTTAGTCTGCTTCACTTATTTACAACGTTCTTGTTCTTGAACTTTATTTTCCCCAACTTCCGGGCGTTCCCTACACAAGTTCATTCGCCAATTTGAACCCTATCATCGTGTCCTACTCTAGACCAGGTATCAAACTCTCAGTAAGTAGCCTACTTGTTCAGAGAAGACCGCCTTTTCCTTCATCCATCTTCGCCTGGACCCAAGACGAATCTCCCAGAAGGTTAAGCATTTCCATGATGATTTTGACGTTTTCACCCCAACTTAGGACCTAGGCTGGTTTCCAGAACTACGTATTTGAAACATCACTCCACCTTAAGCACTTATGCCTAAAATAGTGGATTGATGATGTCATTACATTAAACACATGCTAAAATATTACTATGAAACCCACCATAACTTTCCAGTTGAAAAAGATAAGTGGCAAATAAATTACACTAATGCCAGATTCTGAAATTTCTCTGTTGGTAGCCTGGTGCCATTAACTACTTTCTGACCAAAGGAGGCAAATGATGGTTAGGTAACATGGTATGCACAGGTCCAAAATGGGTTAACCAAAAAATGGTCCTGCTCATATATGATGTGTCAAAATGGGTCAGGTTAATTATGGACTTGGGTGGATTTTAACCAGAGTTTAATTTGAAGCATCCATGACTGTTTCTTTCTTCCTCTTGTTTTATTTTTATTTCTATTTTTTGGTGGTGAGGGGGATGGAATTCCCTATTTCTTTCAGTCCTGGGTTATCAACAAGCCTACTTTCTTCCATTTGTTCATCAGATTTACATATGAAAGGAGAGGAACACTTTCAACTATCACTACTCTAGGGGAGAAGGGTGCTTTTTTTCAAAAAGAAACGCAGCGAAAAACAATCCCAAAATGTTCATATGGAGGGAAGGAGGGCGTTGATGGATTTGGTATGAAATCAGCTAATGTGAGCGCTCGTCAAGGCTGAAAAACTGCTGCAGGGTGCTTAGGTCTTCAGATATTATCAATATGAAGATCCCAAATGAACCATCTGTACGTCTATCTGACATTATTTTGACCTTTAGATAGTAGTGATAGGAGACGTAAAAACACCACTTCTATCAGGGATTTAATGCATACTTGAACAGCAAAGTTGTCATTAGATTTTGTAAATTAATCTGGGTCCCAAGAGGTAAAATAATTTCCATTATTTGTTTATCATTCATCCAAATACCACTAAAGAAATAATCGATAACAATTCAGCAGATAAAGATACACGATAATAAACTCAATTAACTTATAGCAGCAGTTCAGAGTCGTTATGCCTCCACATTCAGTTTAATTAGCTGAACAGGAAGAACTGATGAAATATTACAATACGTATAACATTCAGGTTATTATGCAATCTGGACAACAAAAGAAAATGAAGTTCAAAGAGAAGTTGACCATTTGAGCAACGAAAATATTCAGCCCATGAACTGAAATATGGAAGTTCCCAGCAACCCTTTGCACGTCCAAAACCCCATACACCTACAAGAAGTAATGAATTAAATAGCTAATTTAAATGAAGGATGAACAAGATGAGGTTGGAAGTAGAAAAAGGCATACCCTGCAACCTTCTCTATTTGCCAGTGCCTGTTTCACCTTTTTAATCATATCTTCCGCTTCTTTATCAAAACTGTGGAGTTCAACTTTATGGTCAGACTCCTCATGATGATCTTTGTGGTCATCTGGTCATAGTTATTCATCTTAAGATTCATAACTGAAATATAGTGTGTAAACATTCTACTTTGCAGAATTAACATAAATATTGAGCTCTATACAGTGGAAGTTAGATCCTTTTCTACACTATCTTAAACAATGAGTACTAGCATCAACAATGATTGACTTGAAAATTTCAAGCAAATACTCGATGATCAGACAGAGAGGAAAAAAGACGACTCAATCCCAGCTAAAGAATAAAGGAAAAATTAGAAAGGGCAAAATGAAATAAATCTCATCATCGACATGCTGATCATGCAGAACTGAGTTCGTGACATAAGCTTTCTTATCCTATGTAACAACAGAAGCTTGCTGCTAGCTTCAGTTTGGTGATTTAGCCATGCTAATTTTTGACTCTAATGAATCTGATGCCTTATCCCAGTAGTAAGGATCGTCTAGTGGATGGTGCTGGCATCCAAATCCCAACATCATTATCACATGCTTAAGGAAAAAAGTGGTAAAAAGACCTAACATTATGACGTGGAATGTATTTCCCAAAGAAAATTAATTCTAAACTGCAGCCACAGATAATTTTTCAATTGTTTCCTCAATGTTTAACGATGTGAAGGTGCCAAAATCCTTCTATGGAGTTCCACAGAGGGACCTAGCAGGATCCTTGACAAGGAAATTAGTGGCGGAACTGAAAATCATGCACAAGTGACTAAATTCTATAAATGTGCAATTGATCTAGATCTCTAATAATATATCGAAATAGTACATCCTGTAACGACCCAAAACTTTCCCTTTTAAGTCATTAGATGCGTCTCATAAAATAGAACATTCGTAAAAGATAATTATTCTCAAAGTTGCAATAATTAAAAATAAAACACTTTCTTATTCATAAAATTTATTATTAAAAATTCATAAATCATCTCCTCTTCATTATACCACCAGTGGCTAATTCCAAACTCCAATACCTCAAATCTCAATTACCTAAAGGGGAATAATCATAATCAGTGAGATGAAATCCCAATAAGCGAGCCACGTAAATCGTATTTCATATTTAAAATTTAGGAATTCTTAATGTATATAAAGAAACACGGGAATTAGAAACCGAACTTAGGTGGCTATAATTCATGTACATAAAATCATTACATAGGGAGACATAGGAATTAAGAACCGTATTTCGTTGCTATAATTCCATCGTAGCGCTTCTAAACTCCGGTTTCTTCAACTTACACATATAAGACCCATATCATATTCATAACTTGAAATTTCGTATTTTAAAGTATGAAAAGCGATTTAACATACAATGTATGACTACACTTCCCTCATAAATTTGAAGATGATTTAACAAAACACGTACGGAAGAAGTTAGAAAGCCGTATGATAGGTGGTAACTATCTTGTACAGTTCGGGGGCTAATCGACTTGACCTCAAACAATCGTTTATGAATTATGTGTGTAGTGTGGGACAATCATAGTGATATATAATATAATTATATATACTGATGTCCGTAATTATAGTAATCATATAATTTAAATCAATTAACCATGATAACATATAGTTATACATATATAGACGCACATAATTATAGTAACACTATAATTTAACTCCATCAATCATACTTATATATATATAGGCACACATAATTGTAGTAATCATACAATTAAATCAATCAATAATAATTATATATATTATATATTCACACACACACACACACACATACATATACATATACATACATATANTATATATATATTTCAGGAATTGCACATATAGTCCCTCAACTATGGGCCAATATGCAATTTGATCCCCCTAACTTTCATTATCTTGAACTAAGGTCCTAATTTTCATAATTAACGATTATAAAGGATTTTGGGTATTACAATCTACCCCTCTTAAAACAAATTTTCGTCCTCAAAAATTACCTTAACGTCATCGTCAAACAGTTGAGAATATTTGTAAAATAGAAGTTTCTAAAAATGAAAATTTTCTGAAATAGAAGTTTCTAAAATAGAAGTTTAATAAAGTGGTAGTTTCTCAAAATAGACACCTCTCAAAATTGAAGTTTCCTGAAATTGGGGTTTTCAAAAATTGAGGTTCTGTCATGTAGGAATTCTTGAAATTGAGGTTTTTAAAATGGAATTTTCTTAAAAGTTTTAGAAAATAAAGTTTGTAAAGATGGGAATCTTCTTAAATTTGGAGTTTGTAATATTACTTTCGTTTCATGAGTGTGAGTAACGCTCAACTCAGTAGCTTCCAAGTGAAGAGGGGGTCAAAAGTGGACCACTTAAATCTTAAACTCTTCTTAGACAGTTTAAGTCTTTTTTTCACAAAGCCTTCCAATTTTGCAAATATGCAACCAAAAAAAATAAAAAATAAAAAAAATAAGTAGGAATAAAAGTATTTAAGGGTGTAACTTTCCAAATTAGATTATACTATCTAATCTAGAGATTTTCTAATGCCGACTATTCTCATAGGTTAATACGTTCCATATGTAGTCACAGCTTAAATCACATAATAGCATAAAATTATCATTCTCGTAACTTACAATATCTACAATGAGACGATTCATTCGAATCTCTATTCAATTATTTTGATTACCAAGAAGTCTAGTTTAATGTAATTTACTTTAAACAAGTTACTCATTATTAGTTATACTTTTCCATCAAAATTGTTCTACATATTTTTCAAAATGGTTCGTATATTTTGGACTTGAAGAAAATATTTTACCCAATCTTACTCTTCAAGGATTCAAACACTTCAAAAAAGAGGGAAAATCTTTTTAAAGCATCAAGAAAAAATTTTATTCTAATTTTCTCATAATTTGAAAGTCTCGTGGATATTCTGCTGGGACTATAAAATTGTTCAAAAATCAGGATCTAAATATCATGTTAAAAAGGTTATTCAGAGACTCGAACTAAAATGGTGGTCAAAATTTCAGGAGACAAATTGCTTCCCAAAAGCAGTAAATTCATGGATTCGAGAACAGAGTAAAGCAGGCATTCCAAAATTATCCAAAAAAGAACTTGACAAAAGTGCCGATTTCCTCACGGAGCAATCAAGATTAATAGCTATGTTAAGCCAATGCAAAACTCCTAAAGAACTGCAAGCTATTTCAGCAAAAATTGTTGCTCTTGCAGAATCTTCATCAAAAGGATCAGATTCAAAAAAAAAATTCTTCTCAAGCGATTACGAACAAAGCAATGAAGACGTGCTTTGGTTTAGAAAATATTGATGAATTAATTGAAAAAGAAACTCAAGAGAAGACTCTTTCAAAATGACTATATGAACCCAATTATCTTGATGAATTAAGAGAATACAGGGTTCAAAAATCAAAGGATTCATTATTCAAAATGTGTGCGCCACCAAACAAATTATTATTGCTCTCCATGCCAATTATTAACAATGGACAAAAAACTTATGTATCTTTACCAAAGTAAAATTCAAAAAGTTGGGAAAAATGGAATTGTCAAAAGTCGGTAAAAGTTGGTCAAAAGTTGGTGAGTCATTGTCAAAAAGTGGTGGATAATTGTCAAAACTTGGTATGTCATTGTCAATGTCAGGGGAGAGGGACGGGAGAAGTAGAGGTTGATGAAAACAATGAATTTATTGATTTAATCATTTTGAAATTACAATGTGAAAATGGATATTTGAAGATTATAAAATTGAAACTCGAAATTGAAAAGATTTTTAAAGAAAGTTTAAAAATTAAAAGGATAATTTAAAAACTTTCTTGAAGCTTACTATCTACCAAAGGGAGGTCCAGGTCACAGAAAAAGGGACCGGAGAAGTAGAGGTTGATGAAAATAATGAATTTCTTGATTTAATAATTTTGAAATTACAATATGAAAACAAGAGAAGTAGATGTTGATGGAAACAATGAATTTATTGATTCAATAATTTTGAAATTACAATGTGAAAATGGATATTTGACGATTACAAAATTGAAACTCGAAATTCAAAAATAAAATTGAAAATATTTTTAAAGAAAGCTAAAAAATTACAAGGATAATTTAAACACTTTCTTGAAGTGTACTATCTCCACTCTGTTACACTTGCGGAGAGCTTTCATCTTTAGCCTTCTTTTATACTTGAAATCTTGAACACGGACTTGAAACCAATTTAATTTTGGTAATGGATTCTTGAAAAGCAATCAATCATTTTGATGTGAAAAGACAACCACTTGTTTTTGTCTTCCAACTACTTTAACAATTATCCACCACATTTTGACAATGGCATACCAACATTATATATATATATATATATATAGTAAACTTTATTTTATTTTATATTTAATATGTTAGACGGGACTTAACAATTAATATTTTTTNATATATATATATATATATATATATATATATATATATATATATATGATATGCAATTTGATCCCTTCATCATCTTACACTAGGATCTTGATTTTCATAATTATTGATTATAAAGGATTTTGGGGTATTATACATCCAATTCCTACATCATCACAAAATCTATTTTGGACTGGTCACCAATAGGAAAAAAATGAACAACTTACCATCCTATGAACCTCAACGACATTTTAAAGTTCATTAACAGTAATGATATTGTATGCCCCACACTAGCAACACCCACAGCCAGACATGTATTCATAGTAAATGAAAAAGCTTCTTTGAAACCATATTTACAGTAATTTCACGCTAGATGCCAAACAAGTACTTCTATTTGTAACATTAGCCACCTNAAAGGGCCCTTCTTAAAAAAGAAAAGGGCCCATTCAAAAAGGCATTTTGGACCCAAACAAAACAATAAAATACCTAGAAAACTAAACGGCAGCCAGAAATTAGAGGACTAAAAAGGGAACAAATTAAACAGAAATTCAAAAGTCAGAAATTGAGAGTAGCGAAGAGGATGATGATGGGGAAATTAGATATGATGATAATTTCATTAACGATGCTAGTAATAGTGATGATAGTGCAAACTGTTAGGCTTTTTCTTTAGTTTAAGCTGCTTCTTTTTTTCTATTGCAAATGGAGTGATTTTTAACTTCTGTAATACTTTTTTTTTTTTATAAACATCTTCTTTCTTTAGGTGGACTATATCTCAATATGCTACTGGTTATATATCCTATTTACTATATGCTCCAATTTTGGTTTTTTTGTATTATTTTATAATTATTTTATTTAGATTTTTTGTTTTTTGAGAGGCTTACGCATCACCTCATAAAGAAAAACCGCCTCATTACTTAGTTTCGCCTTTTTAAACTTTGACCATTTTAACTTCCTTACTACAATATTTTAGTTGTTAAGCATCAATGATACATGGTATAACAATAGCATAGCAACATCAGAAGATTATAGCAATTTCACAAGTGATGGCACTAAGAATTACTGGAAAGAATGTAAGATACTAGCCTACAGTTTAGAAATACAGTCACAATTCACCTCAAGCAATCTTGGTTTTACAACTATCTTCACTTCGACAGACAATAATCAACTTAGAGCAGCTTCTTAACACATCCAACAACAACAACGAGAAGCTAAGCTTTACTAGAAATGAAATTGGGATGATATCCTAAAACATCTCTCAAAAATTACCTTCGGAAAAAACAAATACACGTAACTGCAAAATTACACCCACTTTTGATGCGATTCAGATAGCATTTAGCAACGGTTTCAGGCAAAAGCTATATTTATTCAACTACGTACTAGGCAAGACGTCAAAGGAGGAAACAAATGGTCAAAACTAATCTATACATCAAATGGAGTTCAACATGAACTAACCATGCCCATGAGCTGCATGTTCCTTCTCCACTAGGTCTGACAAATACTCTGTGCCAATGATTAGGCCATCACTATTCAAGCGAAGCTGCAGAAACAATTAATACTAGCACTGTGAGAAACAATTATTGTAAGCATGCATACATACAAGAATTTTTGAGTAACAAAAAGTAAATCATGGAATTCGAATTTCAAGAAAAAGACAGATGGAGAACAACCTAGCAGAGGTGCAACAATCAACTTTACAAGCATGATATAAAATAAATATAATCTGATTCAGCATTATTGTTTAATATGAAATCAATCTACACATGTCCAGTGAATCAGAAGGGCACCCAACACAGCCTCAACCATCAAACACTACACTTGTATAAACAAGCTCAAGATGAAGTCAAAAGGAAATTCAGAGAAGTGGCTGAAGAAATATATTGGGAAGTCGCAAATGCATAAGATTGAATTATACGATATAATATTATAATCTATAATCTGAATCCAGTATTTGATAATCAAAGTGACAGTATTAGCATTCACAATAGAAAAGGCAACATGGTGGAGATACATTAGCATGCATTCCAAACATATCGTTACAAACACTGTAAATGCAAAAATGCACGAGGATGACCTTATCAACACCTATATATGGTTTCCTATTAAGCACACAAGGACAGACTTGAATAAGTACTTAAAAAAGATCAACTACATAGCTAAAGAAAGTTAAAGAAAGGAAGGTGATAAGACATCTAATATAGGATCCGTAATTTCAAAATTCATCATGTAAATAATAAGGAACTCGAATGAAAATTTGAAAGGTGACTGCTCATGAAATGTGGTGTTTACATATCTTGTCACAAGTTATGTTTAAATGTCAGAATATCATTGTGCATAACTGATAAACTGTTTACAAGGAGTTGAGCTGTCTTTTAAGTGCATAAATATACTAATAAAATTTAAAGACGGAGATAATTATAATAAGAAATAATCAAAGGGAACTTCAACCTTCCATATGTTTGTGTCTAGATCAACTTCATGCTTCCCCGACATATCAATGGCATCTACGCTTAAAACTGCAAAGAACAAAAATAATTTAGAAACAGCGTAAGTGGTTATCTGAACAAACAACATTAGCTTTAGGAGATAATTTCTCTGAAGAATAGGTATTTAAAGATATTAAAAACGAAATTAGAAAAGGCTAACCATCACAAGGCAAAGATGGGAATGTCATGTTTATGTGGATAGGAAGAGTTTCTCCACGTTTCAAGTCTACTTCCATCTGCCAACATATAATATATTATACTAAGTAGTAATATAATTACTAAACAAACTTATGGTTTACAAGCAGTTAATATTCAATATTAAAGCTAAACAGTGATTGAACATTTAATACAAATAAGATATCACTAAAATGACAACCTAAAAAGCCTCATGACAAAGAAAACTAACCTGATGTATCGTATAAGTTGAAATGTAATATGTCAACTCGTGAAAGAACAATGTTGCCATGATTACCAGCCCAACAATGGAAACTAGCAAGAAACACAGAAAGGATTCTAGTCAACGGTGAACCCATCATAGAGTATATTAGGATATCCATTCCACAACATAATTTTATTGGTTTTCTGATTTAACTGAAATCACACCTCAGTTTATAGCTACTAAGGTTCATATTGATAACAGTTTAGCAAATGAATCACCACATTAGAGTGGAAGGCTATTTGTTCCCGGAAGATTTGCTTTACAGCTCTGAAGACCAAAATAAAATATTTGTGTTCCCTTTTGCCACTCAATTACACAACTCTTATTGTAATTAAATACGATTGCATAGTTATCAAAATCGTCTTTTTGTAAAATGAACTCAAAAATGAAATAGAAGTTCTAACAACAAATTAACAACTACAAGTCAATAACCAGCTTAAAACCTGCAATAGATGTTAAAAAATAAAAAATAAAAAAATTCAAGTACTTCATAAATGAATCACAACGAAATTGGTAATGAACAAATGAAATGACTAGAGCTTAAGTACTTCATGATATCATTGGAATTGTAAGAATCTTGCAATTCTATATGATTCTACTACGATTCCAATCCAATTTTATCAAATTACCATTTTGTGTATGATATGGACCATTTTTTTCTTTACAGTACCTGATCATGATTTTAACAACCACGATACGATGTATAAGCTAAAATGAAAAAAATACATCCAAATGTACAATTCTTCACAATTTTTAGGAGAATGTATGGTTAAAAAGTAGGAAAAATTTTTTGGTATACAGGTAGAATATTTTATCGTGTGAATGTGTAATTAAAAATAATCTTGTAACAAACCATAAAATGTGTCAAACAGGCACTAAAAACTCTCACTAAAGGGAAAAATTTTTGGTATACATGTAGAATATTTTATCGAGTGAATGTGCGGTTGAAAATTATCATGTAGCAAATCATAAAATCAATTAATGGGTGTCAAACAAGCACTAAAACTCTCACTAAAGCTTGTGTGTCAGACAATCAAGAAAATAAATCTGGTACGCCTTATAAATCATCGATGCAGGATGTCATAAAACCTTTCCGAATTCATAATTAAGGGGATAATTTTTAAAATTTGAATTGATTTTTGTTACAAAATCAATTAGAGGCCAAATTCCCTTCCAGACAAATTCAGCAGTTTGTATAGAAGAACTAGGAAAATTGCAGCTGGAAGGTTACTCCAGGTGAATCTTTCCACATGTAGTCTAAATCATAACTCTTAAATGGCTTTCATTTACCATAAACAACATGAAACACACACGAAGACAGAACAAACAGAACTGGGATTATCGATGCTACTAAAAGCTAGAATTAACAATTATCATTTGGGAAAAACAAAAATAGAGTAATACCGAAGGCGCCTGATTTTGTCTTCTGCAGCAAGTGTTCTTCAGCACGGGGAAACGCATCAAGACTTTTCAATACTTGCATCAACCCCATATTTTATAGCCCTTTTATCTATTTCTACTCTAATTTGCCCCCAGATCAAATAATTATGAATATGAGCGTTTACTGCATACAAACAGAAGTCGATAAACAAAGATATACTGTAATTGTAACACAGAGATGAAATTACAGGTGTATTTCACTTCTTCCTACAACAATAAATACATAGAAATCTATTATCTATGTTGTCAGAGAAATTATTACCTCGAGAGGGGGATAAACGGATTCTGAGATTCCCGGACAAGACAATTTGAAGCAAGACCAAAAACCACGACGGCCAAACAGTTCTCACTTAGCAACCCCAAATCCCAATTTATCAATTAAAAAGGGTATATATCACCGAGGTCCTTAACCTTTCCTTATTTTGGTACTCATGTCTCCAACCCGTTGAATTCATGTCCCGACCTTTTAAAACTTTGCATCCATGTTCCCAATTAACGAAAGAGTTTATTGAAACTTTAATGGCCAGTTGACGTAGAAATGAAAAGATAAAATTGTCCAGAAAGATTTCAATTATTTCAATACAATCCATAACAGTAATTTCAACTTTCTTTTAAAAATTCGAATATCGTAAAATTTCTTAATGTTTACGAAACACATCACCTTGAATGCTCAAATAAATATTTTAATTAAATGAAGACATGGCTGCAACAATTTTAAAATATATGAGATATGAGTGTAACGAGTGGTAGTTTGGAAACATGAATGCCATAATTAAGAAAGGTGGGGACCCCTGATAAAATTTATCCCCAGTAGAAATTAGGTTTTAAAATAGGGGAGTTAAAAACTCGTCCCGCCCTGCCCCGAAGCCGTCCCGCCAAACCTGTCCCAACGGGTTGGTGGGGTGGGACGGGGTGGGGGTGCCCTAGTGGTGTCAATGGGCCGAGC